GATAGAGAGGGCGAATCGGCGGGAGGGCGGGAAGCGGCGCTCGAGGGCGGCCGCTGCGGCTGCACCCCAGCACCAGGGGCCCTCCTCACACCCCCAGCAGCCCCAGCCCGGCTGCCCTGTGCGGAGCGGGCGGCCCTTACCTTGGAGAAGAGCCGGGCGGCGGCGGCGTGCGGGTCTAACCGCGCTGCCGCCTCCAGCGCGCCCCAGTGGCGCCCGCCGCTGCGGCGGTGCACCGTCGGGATGGGCGGCCTGCAGGGAGGGGCAGGAGCGTGGCGTGGCGGGGAGCGCGGGGACATGGTGTGGGTGTGGGGTGTTGGTGTGGGGGAAGGGGCCCAACCGAGGCTGCCTGGCAAGCGAGCAAGCACCGCTGCTCCCGCGCACGCCGGCTACAAACTGGTGAATCCCGGCGCACTCACTCCTGGCCCTGCACCCAGCTGGGGCGCTGGTCGGGCTGCTGCCAGTCGATGATGTCGTACAGGTCGCCTGCAGGCGGTACCGCAGCGGGACAGGCGGTACAGTTGCTCCGCGGTACAGCAGTACAACAGCCGGGAAAAAAGGCGCTCGGGGCCACAGCAGCAGCACAGCGGCGGCGCCGTCGACGCCTGCTCGTGCCCAGTGCACCCACTGCGCAACGGATGAGCTCTACCCACGCCCAGCCCCACCGCACAGTGTCCACCCGACCCCCATCCCCATCCCCACCCCCAGCGGCAGCCCCCCACCCACCGTTTGACTCCAGGAACAGAAAGTCCCAGTCGCTCATGTCGCCGATGGCGGCGGCATCGTTGGCCGCCTGCCGCGCCGCGCGGTACCCCGCCTTCATGCCATCAAACTGGTGCAGCAGCAGGCACACGGCCTGCGTAGCGACGGCAGCGCGGCGAGCGCAGACGCCAGGGCAGGCGGCGTCAGAGAGGGGTGTGTCGCGGGGAGAACGGCGGCAGGAGGTTGCCGACGAGGGGAAGCGACGGCAGGAGCGGCAGCCCGCCACCCTTGCAAGGAGGACGCCGGCGGGCAGCCCAGATGGCCTGCCTGCCAGGCTGAGGCTGACCGCAGACTGACCGCAGGCAGCCGCCTCACCTCCCAGAACCGCTCGTTCTTGGCGGCGCCCACACGCTGCCCGGGCCCAGAGACACACTGCCCCCTCACCCACCGATCCTGCTCCTCGATCCTGCGGGGCCGCAGGCGGGCCGGGCAGCAGCAGGCGCAGCGGCGGCAGGGCTGTCAGGCTCAGTGGCTGACTGCGCCGCACGGGAGCACAGGGCCGCGCGCCGTGCGCCGCAGCGCCACGCTGTGCCGGGGACCACAGCAGGCGGTATGTACTGGCCTTCTTGATAGCCAAACAGGCCCCGGCCAAGCTCCTAGCATGCAGCGAGGCATGGGCTGCTCTACACCCGCCCCCCATCCCCACAGCAGCCTTTCGCCACAACCAGGACAGTACCACCCCAGCCCCAGCCCCAGCAAGGCACGCGCTTCAGCTGAGCACTGCACGAACAAGTGGACCAGCCGCGGGCGGGCGGCCCCTCACCACCGCATGGGCTTCTCGATTTCGGCGCCCATCCCTGCCTTGAAGTAGTCTCGCATGTTGAGGAAGCTGTCCCAGATGCGCTGCGCGGTGAGGTAGCCTTCCAGGAAGCCCGCGGCCTGCAGCTGCCGCTCATCTGGGTGCTGGCCCGAGGTGGTCACCCGCAGTTGACCGAAATTGGAAGGGCTGTGGCGGGAGTCGAGGTAGGAGCCCCAGGCCAGGCCGCCTGCACCGGAGGCGATAACAGCTGTGTGGTGGAGGAGCTGCGGGACAGAAGGCAGAAGCAGCGGTGGTAAGCGGCGGTGGCGGCGGCTCACCCTCTGGGTCTTCCGAGAAGACCAGGCCGCCATCTGCGTTCAGCCGCACGCTTCCCGCCCGCACGTCATTCTGGCAGCCGGTGGAGCGCCAGTGGGGCAGCCGCAAGCCGTGGGCCGTAACTGCGAAGGCCAGCACGGCCAGCAACATCGCCGCCGGCCTTGCCATCGCTCCACGGACTACGAGGGTCGCGAGGCGGGGCGGAAGAGGCCGATCGGTGGGCCGCCGACACTATCATCGCATTTTCCGCCAGCTGGGCAGAAAGGAGGTCCTGACTCAGGACCTGAGGACAAGGAGATAACGCATTGTGCAATGCATCGATGCAAATCTGCTGGAGCGACGCCGTAGCGCTCAACCGACACACTGGCAGCCAGCCCATCGGCATGTCTACGCGTGTATGGCCTCTGCAAGCCCCCTGGTTGGATGGCAGCATCCTGACATTGATGCCGAGGAGCTGCTAGGACCGGCGGCAGCAGGAGGCGGAGGAGCTCATCTCCCCACAACCGCCGCAGATCGCCGCCTGCTGGACACACCAAAGTGCACGGTGTCGCACGCCTGCAGATGATTTCATGGGACAGGGGCATCTGTGCTTGGCAGCCGCAGCAGGGACAAGCTGAGCTGATGTATGGCCCCCATAGTGCCCGGGAAAGGCTTTCACGACCCGCCATCAGCAGGACGAAGCGGCTGATGGCCGCCTGAGGCCCACAAGCATGGAGCTCAGACACATATAGGCTTGCGCAGTCAGCAGTTCAGAATTCGCAGTGCAGCGAAGGAGTGGCAGTCCCCTGGGACTGCCAGTCCTCTGTTTGCTCGTTCCATCCCTCCATACCCGCATGGGCGCTGCCGCGCCGTGCTGCCGCCGCTGCCCGCATTCTGCGCTGCCAGTGGCTCTTCTGGGCAGGACCAGGGGATCTGTGCAGTACTGTGGTCCCTTGGTTGCATCCCCCAGAGCTGGCAGGAAGCGGGAAAAGCCGGCGTGCCTTTTTACCCTAAACCCTAAATGCGTGCTGTGCGCCGCATGCGCCCCGTCAGCGTGGGCGGCGAGGATCCAGGCTATGGTGCGCCTCCCCCTCGCAGGCGCCACTTCCTGCCGACCCGTCCCGGTTGTCGGCCGCTCCTGGGGTGTTTGGCAGAGGCGTGGGAGCCTCACCTGCAAGCGGCCATGGCAGCGCCTGGCGATGGCGCGACCACAGGGGGCGATGGGCTGCCCTTCATCGGCAGCCTGATGCGGCTCATCAGCAGCGGCGATGTGGCCTACCAGGGCATCCTCTGGTCGATCGATATGCCAAACTCGACCATCGCCCTGTCGAACGGTGAGGCTGGAGGCCTGGGCAGCCGGAGGGAGGTGCAGGCGGCAGGGTGGGGCGCCGCAGGGGCGGGGGAGCCGCCCCATCCCGCACCTGGTGGTGGCCCGAGGGGTATGTGCTGCCCAGCGCTCCCCACCGCTCCCGACACCCCCCACGACACCCTGTCCCAGCTGCCCACCCGCGATCACGCCCCCTCCCTGCCGCAGTACGCTGCTTCGGCACTGAGGGCCGGCGGAAGGAGAACGAGGTGCCGCCCAGCGACCAGGTCTTCGAGTATGTGGTTTTCAAGGGTGCGCACGGGCTGCTGGGAGCGGCGCGGGGGCTGGAGGCGGTGCAGGGGCCCCGCGGCATCGCGCAACCCTCGCTTGCTGCTGGGCTCTGGGACCAACTGACGCAACCTCGAACACTCTAAAACCGTGCTGCGCTGCAGGCTCCGAGATCAAAGAGCTGACTGTGGTGCAGCCGCCGCCGCAGCAGCCCCCGCCCGCCGCGGCGCCGCCGCCGTTCCAGGATCCGGCCATCGTGTCTGCGGGCCCGCCGCCGCCCTCCGCGCCCGGCGGCTGGGGCGCGCCGCCGCCGCCGCCGCAGCCCTACGGCGCGCCGCCGCCGTTTGGGAGCAGCCCGTGGGGGCCGCCGCCGCCAGGCGGCGCGCCGCCGCCGCCGTCGAGCCCTCCGGCGGGCCCTCCTCTTGGCCAGCCCGCCCCCGCGCCAGCCCCTACAGTGGCAATCACCCCCATGGGTGCCGCCAATGGCTCCGGCCCCCCGCCGGCGCCGCAGCAGCGCCCCAGCTCTTACGCCCACGCCGCAGGCGGGCGCGCGCCACTGCAGCACCCGCGCGGCGGCCGCGGCGGCGGCGGCCGCGGCGGCGGCCACCAGCAGCAGCACGGCGGCGGCGGCGGCCGCGGCGGCGGCGGCGGCGGCGGCCAGCAGCAGCACAACCGCCCGCCGCCGCAGCCCCGCCCGCCTCCGGTGGAGGTGCCCAAGGTGAGGCTGGGCTGGGCCTCTTGTGTTACAAAGGGGGCCCAAGGGCCTGCCTGCTGCTCGGGTGCTGGCTGGCTGGCCGGCGGACTGCCAGGGCTGCCGGCAGGCTCCTCCAGCCACACAGGCGCTTTGGACGAGCGGCACTAACGCTGCCGGCCCGCCAAGGCTGTCTGGCGCTGCCGCGCTGCCTTGTCTGCGCAATGCGGTGCTGTCGTCGTTTCAAGCTTCCGTGTGTGCTGCTGCTGCTTGCTGCTGCCTGCCTGCCTGCCTGCCTGCCTACCTGCCTGCCTTGGCTGTCCTTCCTTCCTACCTACCTACCTGCCTGCCTGCCTTGCCCCCAGGAGGAGTTTAACTTTGAGGAGGCGCTCAAGCGGTTCAACAAGGGGGCCCTGGAGAAGGAGGCGGAGGAGCATGTGAGCGGGCGGCTCAGGGGAGGGGGAGGGGAGGCGTCGCGGGTGGCCTGCCGTACGTCGGGCCGCCAGCTGCTGCTGGCACTGCCCGCGCTGTGCTTGCATTTGGGGGCCGGCGGCCTGCCGGCGGCGGCGGCGGCGGCGGCGGCGGCGGCGGCGGCGAGGGCGCTCCGGGCACGCCCGCCTGGCACCCCCGCCCGGCGCCTGGCAGCGCGCCGCCTTCTTTCACATTTGCACCGCCCTCCCGCACACCCGCACCCACCCCCCACCCCACCCCCCACCCCTCTCCCTCAGGTTCCGGTGT